GAGCTGAGGTAAAAAAACAAGGGAATATAGGAGCTGAGGTAAAAAAAACAAGGGAATATAGGGCGGTGGTGAGGGGGCAGGGCCAGCCAGAGTTGGTATTGGCCAGTTCTCTGAACTACTCAAAACTTCTGCTACCAGTACGCCAGAACTGGTTCAAACTGGCTGAATACCACTTCTGTCAGGGGTGTCAAACTCAATTTCATTGAGGGCCCACATCAGGGCTGTGATTGACCTCGGGGGTGGGGGGAACTGGATGGGCGTGGCTGACTGGGTGGGTGTGGCCAACTGTATAGGTGTGGCCGGCTTGACGCCACTTCCCAAACTGCTGGCGTGTTTCCTCTTCACATTGGGTACCCCAGGACAGCTCCATGGGCTGGATCCAGGGGTGGGATGCTACCGGTTCGCACCGGTTCAGGCAATCTGGTTGTTAATTTTATGGCCACTTCGGTGAACTGGCAAATCCCACCCCTGACTGGCCCTGTCCACCCCACCCCTCCTGGGAGTCCCCACGTGGCCCGTTTTGGATCACAGGTAAGTGCAGGGCCTGTGTGGAGGCTCGAGGAGGGTGAAAAATGGGCCTCCTAGAAGTTCCAGAAGGCTGTTTCTGGCCTCCAGAGAGTCTCCAGAACATGGGGAGGGTGAAAATGGTCTTCTGGAGGTTCAGGGAAAGCCTCCGGAGCCCGGGGAGAGGCAAAAAATAGGCTTCCTGGAAGTTCCAGAAGCTCTTGTTTCTGGCCTCCAGAGAGGCTCCGGAACCTGGAGAGGGCAAAAACAGCCCCCCTGTGGCCCGTTTTCACTCCCAAGGTGGTGCAGGAGGCCGACTAGGTCATGCCCACCATGGCCACACCCAGCCAGTAATCGGGCAGAGAACTGGTTGTTAATTAATTAAATTATTTCAAGCCCATCCCTGGCTGGATCCAACCACATCACGGGCTGGATTCGACTTGCAGGCCTTGAGTTTGATACCCCTGGCCGACACCATTTCTGACAAACAGCGGCCCAGTATCTTCTTGAAAGGGTCAAATGAGGACAAACCAAGAGATCCCGCCACTGCAGAAGGGACCTTAGATAGCCCTCCTCGGACCTTAAACAGACTGGCAAATGTCAGTCTGCATATTTTAGCTTCTTACATTGCATTGCCAGGAGTCAGGCAGTGGCCAAGGGCCAGAGAATTGGCTCTTTGAGGATTCTGGATAATGAGCTCTCCTGTAAGTCAGGAGATTTGCAGCTTCATTAGTAATTTTAGCAGGCAGATTCAAACAGAAACACAAGCTGAATAAAAGAGAACATTTTGCAAATGCTTCGTTACCCAACTAGGAAATATCTCTAGTGCTAGAAGAGAGTGGGGTTGATGGAGGTGAAGAAGGAGAAAGGGGGAAGGAGTGGAGGAGGAGAATCATTGATGATATCTGAGCTTGGTTGTTTTCTTGCAAACATTTCATGAGCCAACTAGGTAACATTCTCAGTGTGAGGGAGGGTGGGATTTGCTCTCTGCTTATATACCAGTGATTTGCCTTGTGCAATCAGCCTTCTTGATTAGGCTGTTCTTGTTTGTCTGAATTGGTAGTTCCTTGACTGGAATATAAATAGACAGCAATCCCTAGTAGAATGACCAGTAGTATTGATGATGTTACCTAGTTTGGTAATGAAATATCTGCAAGAAAACAACCAAGCCCAGAGAGCACCAAGGGCCTTATTGTCATGCTCCTTCTCCTTCCCCATCTCCCCCTCTTCCTTCTCCTCTTCTCTATAATTCCCCCTTCTAGTACTGATGATGTTACCTAGTTGGGTAATGAAAAGTCTTCAAGAAAACCACCAAGCTCAGAGAGTACCCAAGACCCACCCACAGTTCAATCCTGAATTACAAATATTCTATTAAAAACTGTAAACTTCTGGAATTGCCTTAATATCAAAATAAGTCCTGGAAATTCAGCGGCCTTCTGCAGTGCCACTACATAACTTTCCCCACTGTGGGAAAAAAAATATACGGCATCAACTTTATCGCCACAGACATTGTAATTTGTGCCTACTTCTTTCTCGTTCTTTAGGAAACCATTTGAGAAAGCTCCTCGTTTTAAAAGATGCTTCTGCAGGGAGTGTGTTGTGTGTTATGTTTTGCAAAGCAATGAGGATCTATGATATTCACATGTCCAGAACATCTTTTGATGTTACTTTCCGAAATGAAAATTGTTTTGATTTATGTGTGTGTGTGTGTGTTTTCCCCTCCAGCTGAATTCCAAGCATTGTGCAGTAGTGGAATAGGAATCACAGCTGACGGACGAGGCAAGTTCTTGATACTTATTATGGGTTTTCAGGCAGATTCTGGCTGAATATTAGAAGGAAAATAGTAGTACCTTGTTTCTCCAAAAATACAACCTACCCTGAAAGTAAGTCCTGGCTTGATTTTTACACGTGTGTCCAATATAAGCCCTACCCTCCCAAAAATAAGCCCTAATTAAGATCCTACCCACTTGAGTGCAGGGGTAATCACACCCTTGGTCATAAGTGACTTTTTTCAGTGTAAATAAAATAATAACAATAATAAATATAATAATAATAAATAATAAAATATGCGGACTTCATCATTAAATTAATATAATTATGATTTCTTTGTTATTTAAAAGAACAATATTATTTAAAAGAACCCGCTGTTCTCCATTTGTGTCTTTGCGCTAATTTTCTCCTCTATCCCATTTGGGAAGAGACACAGAGACCCACCCTCTACTCCCTGTCGTAACTGTGAACAAGGTTCATAAGTCACTTTTTTCAGTGTGGTTGTAACTTTGAACGTTCACTGAATGAGCTGTTATAAGTTGAGGACTACCTGTATTTAGTTATTTGACTTCTCTCCCTTAGTCTTTGGCCTTACCGTTTCTGTCCTGGTCGGGGAATTCTGGGAGTTGAAGTCCGGATGTCTTAAGTTTGCCACGGTTGAGAAATATTGAACAAAGGGGGTGGGGGGAATATTGGGGAGAGGGACTGCCAGATGACCGAGATGGCAATTCTCCTGTGTAGATATCAACGAGTGCGCCTTGAACCCTGACATTTGCCCCAATGGGATGTGTGAAAACCTTCGAGGAAGCTACCGCTGTATTTGCAATCTGGGCTACGAATCAGACCCCACTGGGAAGAACTGCGTGGGTGAGTAAGACGGGACAAGCCAAATCCATGCTGAGGCCAACACACCAAGGCTGCCCATCCTTGTGATACAGTGAAACTGTAATGCTCGGCAGTGGGTTGAAAACCATAGACTCTGGAAAGAGGGCAGAGAAGAGCAACCATGACGATCAGGGGGCAGAAGCTAAAACATATGAAGAACGGTTGCTGGGATTTGGGCATGTCTAGTTTAATGAAATGTAGATGTCAACTCGTAAAGCATTCCTGGCTTGCTTTCGAGTTGCCATGACCAGAAGCACATTCCATGCATACCTTTCTCCAGATTGTTTCCCAGGTTACCAGAGCCAGATGGAGAGAGGTGTTTTCTACAGTCCAGGGAGCCGTTGGAGAATGTGATTTATGACACACCCTGGGAGGAGGAGGGGAAGCAGGGTCATAGGTGGGCAGTAAATTACGTAGGGCACAGCCGACTGCACTTGGGAAAAGTAGTGTCGACATGTTGCTCCTAATAAATAATTGGATTTCTTTTGAAACTTGGCTCAAGGCTCATTACAGGGCATCCATCAGAACCCTGACAGTACAGATGACAGGATAACAGTCAGGGGCTGCCCCAAAGAAGAGGGAGTCAAGCCCTCTCCAAAGCAGCTGAAGGCAGGATAAGAAGCAAAGGATGGAAACTAACCTAGGAGAGAAGCAACCTGGAATGGAGGAGAAATCTTCTGGTAGTGAAAACAATCAGTGGAACTCCTTGCCTCCAGAAGTTGTGGTGCTCCAACACTGGAGGTTTTTAAGAAGAGGCTGGACAATCATTTGTCTAAAATGGTATAGAGTTTTCTACTTGAGCATAGAGTTGGACTAGAAGGTCCCTTCCAACTCTGTTATTCTGTTCTGTTATTCTGTGATGGGTGAGCCGAGGAAAAAGAGGGTGATTGATGTTTTCTAGCTGTGGAAGGATCATCCATGGTTGATTAACTATTACTTCTCACCAAAGAGGGATGAAAATTAGCTCTGTTCTTGTGGGGGAGTGACATTGAGAACTGTCATGCCCCTGAAGGAGACTGACTCCATCCTAGGGCACGCAGGGAGGAGAGGATAAGGGAGAGACATGGTCTACCCGGGAGGACAGGTCCTTGATCCTCTTCATGGGCTGCAGCTGTGACAACTGAATAAGAGGACGGATATGCGTACGGGCGAACGCTGGAAACAAAGCATGGAAATATCTCTAGTTTATGGTTCCTCTCTGAGTTTGGTGTCCTTCCCAGTGTGTGTTCTGTTATCTGTGCACATCCTCCAGCCCTTATCTCACCTGGTTTGCGTTGCTTTTTTCCTTCTTCTTGTAACTGTTTGTGTGGGAGTTTTTTGTCTTCCCCCAAGGATATTCAGAGCTTGGAAGCAAAGTGAAGGAATAAAAGGGGCTTCACTGGTTTTCTGTGACTGTGTTTGTTTGGTATCTCCACCTTGGGTCATCACAAGAACCATAGTTTCTCAGGCCAGAGATGTCCATTTTGTTAACACCTGAGAATCATTCAGATAAGCCAGAACACCCAGATAAGCATGGATTAATACCAGACAAACAGACGAGCAGAAAACTTGATTCTAATCAAGAAACTACCAAGGAGGGAAATAATCAAGCAACTGAGGAGAAAACAATATTCTAATCAAGAAACTATCAAGGAGAAAACAACACTCCACCAACACTGCCAATGCAAGCTGTTGTATATAAACAGGGAACAAACTCCACACTCCCTAGCATGGATGCTGTAACCTAGTTGGGTAATGAAATGTCTGCAAATGAACAACCGAGTTCAGAGAACATCAAGGGCTGCACAAGAGTTATTCAACTTTTTCTAAAACTTGATCTTGAAGGTGAATAACTTCTGATAGTGGACAGAATGGACACCTCTGTCCTAGGAAACTGTGATTCTCTATCTAATTCTCAACGGGAAGGTTAGGAAGGCCAGGAAGAGAGGAAAGTCAGAATTAAACCACATTGTGTGTCTACCTATCCTGTTAGGCTCCCTTAATATTTTTTAAGTGGCTAGTTCAAAAGAGGAAGGAGGAAATAGGTTGCTCTCCCATCCACCTGCCAGTCCCGTTGGTAAGGTTCTGTGCCTTTATTTCTCTCTCCAGATGTTGATGAATGTGCCATCAATCGCCTGTTGTGTGACAACGGTTTGTGTCGCAACACGCCTGGGAGCTACAGCTGCAGCTGCCCCAAAGGGTTTGTCTTCCAGACTGAGACAGACACGTGCGAAGGTAAACTTCTCTGTCTGTTTTCTGCTGAATCCTGGTAGATCCCAAACAGCTTATGGCCATGAGGCAGGAAATTGGGACAGAGCCTTGCAAACTCTCCAGCTTTTAATTTCTTCTTGACAGACTTGAACACTGTGCCCTGTGTAACAAAATAATAGAATAGAATAGGAATAGGAATAGAATAGAATAGAATACAGAATAGAATAGAATAGAATAGAATAGAATAGAATAGAATAGAATAGAATAGAAATAGAAATAGAAATAGAAATAGAAATAGAAATAGAAATAGAAATAGAATTCTTTATTGGCCAAGTGTGATTGGACACACAAGGAATTTGTCTTGGTGCAAATGCTCTCAGTGTACATAAAAAGATACATTCATCAAGAGTCAAGAATCATCAGGTACAACACTTAATGATAGTCATCAGGTACAACACTTAATGATAGTCATAGGGTACAATAAGCAATCAAATCATACTAGGAAACAGTCAATAAAAATAGAATACAAGCAACAAGATTACAGTCATATAGTCATAAGTGGGAGGAGATGGGTGAAAGGAAGGATGGGAGGATTGAAATGAAATTCAGTGATGAAAAAAGTAAGGTTCTAACATTTAGGTAAGAAAAACCAAATGCACAGATATAATATAGGTACTATTTGGCTCAATAGTAGTAACTGTGAGAGGGATCTCGGAGTCCTAGTGGACAACCATTTAAATATGAGCCAGCCATGTGCAGTAGCTGCAAAAAAAGCCGACATAGTTCTAGGCTGCATAAACAGAGGGATAGAGTGCGTATTTGGTTCACGTGCAAAGTGTATGCGCACGCACAAAGCATGCCTGCCAAGCCACACCCACCGAATCAGTGGTAAACTATTTTGAAACCCACCACTGACACAAATGTATGCCAGACCTTGCTACATGAAGCACAATCACCCCGGACCCTTCTCTGCCTGTAGGTTGCACCGTTTTCTTTCTCTCTCCTAGATATCAACGAATGCACATCCAACCCCTGTGTCAATGGACTCTGCTGGAACAACGCCGGATCCTTTGCGTGTGAGTGTGCACCCGGAAGCAAATTGGATCCCAGTGGCACCATCTGTGTTGGTAAGGAGCTGCCCTGACCAGTGATGGTCATAGGGCTGGACCTTAGAGCCAGGGTGTGGGGTCCTGGATTTTGGGGGATGCAAAGGGGGGGTGCCAGAGAACGGTCACCCCGTTTTATGCAATATGTGAATGACCTTGAGGAAAAAGGGGAAGAGAAGCTGGGTAGGCAACCATCAGAGAAGAGAGGCAGGAGCCCTCAGTGACTCAACGGTCAGGCGAAGAAAATTAGGAAGGACCCACTCTAATGGTTCAGGCTGTTTAAAAAGGCGATGGGAAGTTTGTACCTTCAGACTTGTAAGATTCTGTTATTGTAACTGTCATTTAATTTAATAGCTGGAACAGTAGTGTACAATGGACCAGAACACACAATTGTAGTTGATTGGCCGGAGAGTGAGGGCTTCTGCATGAGGCAAACTACGCTGTCATAGATTGCTGTGGGTGTAAAGAGAGAGTCCCTGTTTTCCCGCCTTTTTTCTTCTGTGTGCTCTGTAAGCTTTTTTGTTTATCTCATGAGGTTCCTGTGTTCCTGACCATCTAGTCTGCTCCTGTATGAGGCAATTTATGCTGTGATTGGTTGCTGTGGGTGTAAAGGGGAGTTTCTCCCTTTTCCCGTCTTTTTCTTCATTGTGCTCTGTATCCTTTTTGATTTACCTCACGATTTACCTCATGACAATCTAGTGATGTGCCTGACTGTCTTATTTACTGTAAATATAGATGTTAAATATAATTATTTTCTATAAAATGACAAGTCCATGTCAGCATCTCTGGCTTCATTTGGGATACCTGCTGCGCAATTCCCCTGACAGTTGCCTTCCAGTAAAATAGAAGTGGCTCATCTAGTTGTGGAAGGCAATGGGTTGGCTGGACTGTTTCTCACCAGCAAGTGAGAACCGATATGTCCTTTTCTAACTCTTGAGCATGTATGATGATGCCTCTTTGCCTCCTCCAACCTGTCATCATTATCATCATTTAACGACCCCATAATCCCTTGTGGGATGGAGCTAGCAGAGTGTTTTAATGTCCGGATGCCCTTCCTGTCACCAATGTGGAGTTTTGTTCATCAGATATATTCTCAGTATGCCCAGAGAGAGAAATATCTGCCTCTACCTAGGATCGAACTCACAGCCTCCTAATTATGAGGCAAGAGCTCCACCTCTAGGCTACCGCACCACTCCTGCTTCCTCCAACCTGTCTCCCTGCTTTTTCCTGTGCCCCCAGACAGCATGAAGGGTACCTGTTGGCTCAACATCCAAGAAGGACGCTGTGAAGTCAACATCAATGGGGCTACCTTGAAGTCCGAATGTTGTGCCACGCTAGGGGCTGCCTGGGGCAGCCCCTGTGAACGCTGTGAGATCGGTAAAGTGGGACTCTGATCCACAGGGGTCCTTTCCTTTGGGTCTCCCAACAAGCCCCCATGCCAAAAAGTTCACCCCCTTTTCTCTCTTTGGCTCCAGATGCCGCCTGTCCACGAGGTTACGCCAGGAGGAAGGGTCTCTCTTGTGAAGGTAGCTTCCATCTCTGGTTGGTGAGCCCTGCCTTGTTTCTTGAGGGGCTGGCTGTGGAGCACCTCAACCTCCGAGAAAGAGGAATTGGTTGTCTCTGAGAGATTCGGGAGGAAGGCTGTGGAGATGCTCGGAGACAACCTGCCGTGGAACCGGGCAGAAAGTTCCTTCCCCACCGGGGAACGGTCAAAGAACGTCACCACCAGGTTCTTCTCAAGTTGGACCACTCAAGCGTTGACAGGACCTCAACTCAGCTCTGCTCAGAGGGGAGATTTCCCAGCAGTTTGGGAAATGGTGTCCTTTGAGAAGAACAATAGGGAGGTCTTCTAGGGCTGTCCCAGCCACGAGCCCTAGCAGGACCTTCGGCTCTCCAACCGGTCTTTCTCTCTGCCCCACCAGATGTGAACGAGTGTGATGTCTTCCCGGGCGTCTGCCCCAATGGCCACTGTGTGAACACGGCAGGGTCCTTCCGATGTGACTGTCCAGAAGGCTTGACCTTGGATGGTTCTGGCCGGACCTGCGTGGGTGAGGACTGGGCGAGATATCTTATCTGGCCACCTTCTTCTCTTGGGGAACGCTGAAATCTTGATCTGTGGGAACTCCAGTCTTAAGCTGGAGAGGAGAGCTGCAAATATTGTCAAACCCTGGAACACCCGTGTCATGCCTTTGGTATCTCAGCTTGCCTTGGGGCAGGCTGAGAGATCAGGGAGGTCCCCCCGTTCATTTAATCCCTGTGACGACCCTGTGAGGGAAGTCAGATGAGAAGTGTGTGCTTAGCCAACCCCAGCCCCCCCAGTTCTGTGCCACAGCAACCATTGGGGGTGCTGCAACAGGTATACAGAAAGGAAAGAGGGTAGGGGAGGGAGGGGAAGGGGAAGGAGAGGAGGAAGGGGAAGGAGTGGGGAGAGGAGAAGAGGAAGGGGAAGGAGAGGGGGAAGGAGAAGGAGAGGAGAAGGGAAGGA